TTATGGAAAGCTCTTCACGGCAGAAAGAAAGACTTTGGCAGAAGGATTAATGGCGAAACTTTGCGATTTATTCCTCTCTAGATCGAAGACAAAGGACGTGACATAACACGCGAAAAATTAACGCGGGAAAGATAAAAGCTGTAATTATAAATGAAAAATGTGGGAAATTAGTTTTTATCACTGAATATAAATGATTTATGCAAAGGTGCGGTAATTGATACTCGATTACACAGGGCAGGAGGAGAGGACTTTACTTCTTTTATTGGGGATGAAATTATGTAACCAGTTACGACAAATGCATAATTTGCATGTCTTTATATTATTTATTTATTTATTTTAAATAACAATTAAAATATATACAAAATTACAATATATAGTTATTAACATAAAATGCTTAACATAAAATCATATATAATGCAGAATGTAACAATATTATTTATAAACAGAATAAGATAAAATAATGAGATATTTCAAAAGAAAATAAAAAGGTTAACTTGTGCAGATGAAGATTCTTCGATTATTAGGTGAAGTGTTGTGAATATCTATTTCATTATTAATTGAGATAAAGTTGGAGGACATAAGTAAAATAGGCGAATTTAAGAGAGAATTAGATTTAGGAGTAGGCTAATTGAAAAATATATAACCTTGGAACATTAAATGATAGTTGGTTAAGAATAAGCGGACAGTCCATAGAATTATTGCAAAGTTTAAATAAGAACATAATTGTACAGATAAATCGACGTGAGGCAAGGGAAGGAATACCAAATTCTTTTAGTAAAGTGTTGTGTTCAAAGCCACGTTCAGGGTAAATTTTATATGTTTTATAATAAAGATATTTCAGAAATTTTTGCTGAACCTTCTCTATCGCATCAGAGTTGTTGATTTGATGAGGATACCAAATAATCGAACCATATTCTAATTTTGAACGTACATTAGAATAGTACATGCAAAGAAGTGCATTGTTAGAATTGAATTGTTTACAATTTCTCAGTATCAAACCTAAAGATTTATGTGCTCTATTACAAATATCAGTTATATGATCCGTGAAAAACAAACCAGAATCAAATAAAACTCCTAAATCTGAAATTTTATTACATCTATCAATGCTGGTGTTAGAGATTTTATAATCAGAATGTATTGGAACGCGCTTATGTGAAAAACTAAGAATCTTGCACTTTGATATATTTAAATGTAATTTGTTATAGACACACCAAGAGCGGAAAGAGTCAAGTTGAGACTATAATAATAAGCAGTCATCAATAGAATTTATTTTGAGATATAGTTTGAGATCATCTGCAAATAATAAATGTGGACAGCCAATAATATTAGATATGTCATTAATAAAAATAATAAATAGTAGAGGACCAAGAATGGATCCCTGAGGAACACCTGAACTAATATTCTTAATATTGCTCAAGAATCCATTAAGAAAGACAAACTGTTTACGATTATAAAGATAACTCTTAAGAAAATAAATAAGTGAAGAATTAAGACCAATCTTAGATAAAATTATAAATCATTATTTCCTCCAACTCTTCATTTACCTCTTATTTATTTTTATATCACATTACCTACGTGTCTTTTATTACACGGCTATTCAACTTGCAATCTATTTATAAAATAAACACAAACCATTATGTATTGACGGCGGCTAAAAATATCACCGATTCGCCTTTTATTTTGTTATCGTTCTCCGTTCTCCCATCTCTTTCGCGCCCATACAAATCGTATGAAGAGTGTGGGAAAGAGACAGCTTGGTTTGGGCGTGTGGTGGACGCGCCTTGTATTTATTCGATAGTAGTGTTCGTTGTAATAATTGATGTAATTGTCCAGTGTGTCGTTTTGATTCGATCCGATGGGTTTGGTGATTGAAATATTAAAATAGGAAAAGATGTGACGAAGGAATTGAGGATACTTTGAGGGATTTGTAGGGTTTAAATTTAAAAAATTGTTTATAAAATATTATGTGTGCTAAAAATTGTGTTTTTCGCAAATATACGTGAGACTGATGTGTATGTTAGAACATAATTTTAATAAATTTTGCCAAAGAAAGTACCAGCAATTATTTTTGATAAATATATATATATACTAGCTGACCCGGCAAACGTTGTTTTGCTAAGTAAGATATATTCTAAACAATTTCTAGAGAATTAAAAAAATTAATACTTTTATTGTATAGGATGTGTTGTTTACAATAAACCCCATTAGTTTGTCTATACTTTGTCCAAACAATCAAACTGGAAGTTTTATACACTTTCTATAGAAAACATGGTATAATCCAATCCAAGTCATTTTTGGTCTTTCGACTTATATAGTCATTACAAATTCCGTTTAATCTGTGTATAATTGTATATAATACTACTGAGCTAATAAAAAATTTTCAAATTTCTGCAAAGAGACATAGAAAATGAATTAAGTATTTCTTCTTTGACCTGCTTTTTGAAAAGTTTCAAGTAACAGTAAAAAGTATATATGTAGTGCAGGGCGAGGCACAAAGGTCCAATTTGACTTTCAGCAAATATAAACTATATTGTGAAAACCAAAACATTTATATCACAATAAATAACACATTTCAAACGAACAATTATCTGACTACGTTCAGTAAAACTGCCAGCTACTTCGTCATTGTAAAAATGTGCTTTTTTGATGTCTTTCAAAAATTGGTGGCAAACAGGTTTAATGTCTTATTTTAATTTTAAAGGTATTTTTCAAAATAATTACATTTTTAACTAATGCTAAAAAACTACCAACGGAACAAAATACTTTTATTATGGATTTTCAAAGATTACCGTTCATCTCTCGATAGCAAAGTCATAAGAATCAAGGTTATATGTGGTTATACATCTTTTTCCCTGTACTTTCAAATATTGTTGATATACAATGCCTAACTTTATTAGTTTTTGACACATCGACGGTGGACCTTTTTAATTCCGAACCTTCATATATTACTATCTATTTTTCGATAAATTCTGAGAAATTATAACTGGGAAAATGTTATTCGACAAAATGTCCGTTTGATCGATACCAAATTTAGGTTCTGAATTTAAATAACATAAATAAAAAATAATATAACCTAAAAAATGTTTTATAAATACCAATGAGTATATAATTATACAAATGAGATCTTTCAGAGCACCGTGTTTGAGAAAAGTATGCTAAAAAGTGCATTTTCATATTAACATTTCAAAAAAGTTGATATTTTGAGTTTCTAGTAACACTCGCGATCCGTTTATTAACGATGTTCTTAGTAAATAAGAACAAAACTACTTACTGGAATTTAATCATAATTAAACAATATTTACGTAAAACATCTTATTGAACGAAATTGAACATCATCTGTCAAAAACATTTGACATTTGACGTATTAGCTACCGTCTATTGTTTTATTTAAATTACGCTTCTACAAAAAATTTCAAATTAAAAATGTAAAGTTTCTACGCGATTTTGAAATAATTTCTCACCTTTTGGACAATTTCTGGATTTGTACGAATTTTTCGAGACTAAGACTGGCCAAATCGGTTTAGTCGTTTTTGGAGTTTTAGCGAATCATTTTATCGAGAGCTCCATTTTTATACATAAGATATATATATATATATATATATATATATATATATATATATATATCATAATATTTCCCAAGTTAATTAAACATCATACCGACGAGATTAGATTAGAGGCAGCCAAAAGTCCCTGCTATTTACGACGCATTTTCATTTACGAACAATACCAGTTTGCGTTCGTTTTTCTCATACAAATCGCTCTGTAAATTACTAAGGTGCCAATTAAAATAATAAACCGATAATTATTAATCGATAATCATTAATCGATAATTAAAATCGATTTTAATCCGCGATTTAATAATATGTACTATAGTATTTAGTTGCAATCGGACACGGCTGTGTTTAGTGAATTTTGTGTAGAATTTTTGTTGTTTAGGTGCTAAATGTGCAATATAAGTAGCTAATTAATAAAACAATTTTTATTTTGTAAGTACAAGTGAGTCCCATAAGGTGTTAGAGCTTACCTACTTCTCATACCAACTTTTTTTTCTAATAAACATTGCCTTATTAGAAATTAAAACTTCAAATCAAAATTTTGGATTAAAGTCCATTTAAGTAAAATTAAAGAAATTTTATCGATAAATAAATGATTTAAAATTCTGTATAACACCTTATATAATATAAATATAAAAGCTCTTTTTGTATATTGACAAAAAATCAAATATACATATATTAATTGAGTAATATAATATTTTAAAACGTTATTAATTCCTATAATTTAGTAAACAAATGAATTATTTTTAGAACCATCGATAAAAGTGAATGGTGTAAAAATATTTTTTGTGATATTGTTTCTTTTATATTTATTATGAATTAATATATTAGATAGAAAATTAACTAAATTATTGTTTAATATTATTAGTATTGGTCATTTGCCCCAGAAGGCAATTCCATGAAAGAAGGCACTACATGTATTTCACTTACTCATTTTGCATTTTTTTTGTTTATAAAGATATATAAACAATTTTTTTAATTATCTGTGTTTTTAATACCTGATGGATTCATACTGTAATTTACAAATCGATATTTAATAAAATATCGACCTTGGTTTCAAGAAGATATAGGACAGATAAGATAGCGCACTCGAAATGAAAACTATAAATTTATCAATATTATTATATTGCGATATTCAATCAAACGATAAATTATCATAAAACATAATAAATATATGGTAATAAATAAAAATATATAACTGAAATTTTATAATATAACAATAATAAAACAAATATGAATTAACTCTTATTCAATTATAAAATTTATTCCAAGGTTAGGTCTATGCAAAAAAAAACATGGGAATATGAAATCACAAAGTGCCTTAAATTCAATTGTTTAAAAAGTGCTTAATCATGGATGAACTATCTATTATTAATCTAATTATTCTAGTATTTTGTTATAAATAATGTGATATAAAATTAGTTTAAATTAATCCAAAATTGTGAAATGGATTTGTGGACAGTGTTCAGGGGGGCTATTTTGTTAGTCGGCGGACAAGCCCCTGAAGATAGTTTGGATTCTTCAGAAAGTGAGTGATAATAAGAAAAAAATAAAAAATGATAATAGGAAATAATAATTTAGATATTTAATGCGTTGGTTATTTTAAGATATAGAATTTCTATTAAAAAATAATAATAATATATAAGTGTTTAGGCTTTTTATATTAAGCTGACTGTTGATTCGCCTACAGTTAATTAGGAGAGCGGAAATAAACCGAACACATTTAGTGCCACTTTTAGGTTATGTTGTTTTTTAAGGCTTTTTTATATTTAAGCAAATTATATAAGGTTGTCAAATATCTCCCTTCCGCCTTTTTGTATTATAAACCAAGAGCAAAAAAGCGGAAGGGAGATATTTGACAACCTAATATTATCATGCAATAAACAAATAGCCAGATACACCTAAGTCTGTTTTTACATGGTAGATTGGTTCCAGAAGAATCCGTGTAAAAAAAAACGTGTAAAAAAAGACATTGATCTTATACAAAAATGGGTGATTTGTTCCTAATCTCTAAAACCTATTAAAATTAGTGAAAAACAAGAATTTTTAGGGTATGCCCCTAAATTAGTGCTATTCACATTTGCTTTGACCAGTAAAAATTGTTTGTTCGCGCTAAAGGAGAATTCACTTAAATCTTTAAGCTAGTGTTCGCAAACTATCGATACTATCGATGGTTTAAGACTTTTTTCTTTCATAAATACTTTTTTGTGATATGAACATACTTCGCAAAAATTAAATTTGACAAAAAAAATTAAGTACATAAAATTTCAAATCGTGCTAAATGGAATAAAATCGTTTAAAAAAATTAAAAATATTCAATTTTCAAACCGTGTTATATCAAAACCGCGTACAAAAAGACCGTGTAAAAACAGACTTAGGTGTATAAGCTTATGCAAGATTCGACCTCATACGAGAATTAGCCATAGAAAATTATATTAGGTTGGGGTATCTATCAAACAATTTCAGATTTATGTTAGAAAGTGATATATTGTAAAAAAAAAATTGGCTGCTTTTCGTTTGATGCATTCAGTTGTGAGTTACAGGGTGAGAAAATTCAACCAGTTTACCATTTACCGTTTAACATTTAACAGTTTTTCTTGAAAAAAAAATTATGATTTTAATACGGTAATATCCAATTTTGTGCAATTTTGGTTTCGTAGATTCCGTTCAGGAACTTTTGATGTTTAAAATCTGCCTCGCACAAAATCAGAGGCATGATTTAAGTTGACCGGCATGTTAGTAGTCGTAACATCGCCCTGGAGCTAAAAATCGACCATAAAACAGTTTCAAACTAATAAACCAAAAATAGTGTATTTTTCCCCCAACCTAATGTTTGCAATCTTGGTGAATTAGCAAATTTTCCGAACATCAGTGTACAAAATCTATGCGTTCCCTAATTTCATCACTCTTTTATTCATTTTAAATGAAAATTTATTATCAGGATTTACGATCCCCAACGTGCATGTTAATAAAGAATAAATGTGGAAATAATAAATAAAATAAAAACAAACATCGTCCTGCCGTCGGCGTGGATTATTATTGGCGTATTTTCCGATCATTATTTACACATTACGAGCACGCACCTCCACCGCCTCCAAAGCCACCGCCATGGCGGTCGTTCGGACGTAAATAAATCTCCATAATTTCATTACACTGCCGATTGCATAAATTACTGTGTAGGAAAATTGGATTATGGACGGAAAATAAATATTACACAAGAAATTATTTATGAATAGTAATAGATAAATGGTGGTCTGTCCAGAGGCAAGACGATGATTCTCTTTCCTTTCATTGTTCATTATCCATTAATTTTTTTTATATAATTTTATACATTTTCCTTTCCAAACTTCTGCTTCCATGCTTTCTGGTCTTGTGCTTTGGCTTTCAGTTTTCTGTATTTTTTTCGAGCGTATGTTGCGAAAGACATCGAATTTTAAAAAAAAAAATTTGTATCAGGTGAGCAAAAGCTCGTGTTCAACTTAAGAGGCACAACTAGTGTGAAATTATCAAAAAATCGAATTTTCAATTTTTCCATATTTCAATAGTAGTCCAGTCATTTGGTCATTTTGCCGGTACTGTACTCCGGGAATTCTGAAAATTTGTAATCTTATAGATTTCGAGGTGCTCTTTACGAAAATCAACTTTGCCACCTCAAATTTGAACGGCAAGTTGCCGCCATATTGAAAAAATGACGTCAAAAAACAGCTTTTTTAAAATATCTCCTTTATGGCTCATTCTACGATAAAAGTATCTATGTACGAATTAAACTAGATAAAATATCCTACAATTCTTTAGAAAACCGTTTTTTTGTAAAATTGATAGTTTGAGAGTACGGCCGCCTCAAAGTCTTTGCTGCTCTCGCCGTAGTATCAAATCTCTCCATACATGACAGCACTTCGAACTTGACCACATTCCTTCTATAAATAAATATTTTTAATGTTAAATTAAGCGAATAAGATCTAGAAATAAATTAATTCAAATATTTTTCTGTTTTTTTTTGGTGATTTTTTAACGCTTCAAGCTACTTGAAGCTATAAGGTGCTACTTAAGCTATAAGTATACCTATAGCTACTTTGCCATTGAAGTGTTAAAAAATTAGCAAAAAAAACGAAAATATTTAAATTATTTTATTTCTAGATCTGATTTGCTCAATTTAACATTGAAAATATTTATTATTAGAGAGAATGTGGTCAAGTTCGAAGTGCTGTCATATATGGAGAGATTTGATACTACGGCGAGAGCAGCAAAGACTTTGAGGCGGCCGTACTCCCAAACTATCAATTTTACAAAAAAATGGTTTTCTAAAGAATTGTAGGAAATTTTATCTGGTTTAATTCGTACATAGATACTTTTATCGCAGAATCAGCCAGAAAGGAGATATTTTAAAAAAGTTGTTCTTTGACGCCATTTTTCCAATATGGCGGCAACTTGCCGTTCAAATTTGAGGTGGCAAAGTTGATTTTCGTAAAGAGCACCTCGAAATCTATGAGATTACCAATTTTCAGAATTCCCGGAGTACTGTACCGGCAACAGCCTTTTTTTGCACCAAATGACTGGACTATAGGTTATACCTTTAAAAATAACATACCAAAATTTTAAATTGATATCTTAAATAGTTTTTGAGTCACAACCATAAAGAGTATATATACAGTATATAGTATAACGATCGTTTTATCTTTAAACGCGTTTTTCTCGAACAACTAGTGTAACCGTCTAAAAAAAGGTGATTTTTGGGAATTTATATTAAAAGAAAAAACTACTTTATCAATCATTTCAATTTAGGAATATATTTATACAAAGTTTAAGAATACATAGTAAAAATAAAAGATTCGATCAAAAAATCGATAGTTCATTTTACGGAGAACTATATATAGAACATGTAAAAAAAAATTCGATAGTGATCGGATCATTTGTTTTTGAGTAATCGCTGCAGCAAATTCGAAAAATGCTGTTTCGAGAAAAACGCGTTTAAAGATAAAATAATCGTTATACTATATATACTATTATATATATACACTTTAATTGGCTGTGACTCAGAAACTATTTGAGATATCGATTTAAAATTTTGGTATGTTATTTTTAAAGGTATGACCTATCGAAATATGGAAAAATTAAAATTCTTTTTTTTGAAAATTTCACAGTGGTTGTGCTCCTTAAGGTTTGTAGATCTTCTGATGGTAAAAAAATTCTTTAAATATTCGTTGCACTATTTTTATTTAAGTCCCAAATCTGTAAAATAATAATTAAGAGCAGTATCAAGAAAAGAATATAATATGAAAATATTTGTAATGATAAAATACTACTTAAGGTAAAATAATTTGGATTAGAAACTAGAAAAAATATGGAAAAAGGAAAAAATAATTGTAACTGTTGAAAAAAAAGTTAGCAGATATTATCAGTAGGCATTTCATTATCAAAATATTGTTTGATATCGAAATTGGCAAATTCAGAAATTAATTATCGTCGGCTAATGTCCGGCTTTCTTGGAGTCCATGTTTCTGAGCCCCTTGTATTTTTTTGCAAGTCGTAACTCTATAGTAGCGTTTTTATATTTTATACCACCACTGGGCTAATTTTTAGAAAAAAGCTCTCGAATTTATTTAGAATTCTTATTTTTCCAACGACTCCGGGGTATATTTAGTGCCAAATATTTACGAATTATTTAAATTACGAATTGTTTAAAAAAAGTCTTCAACTGTATTATTATATTTATTATTTAATTATCCTTCTATTCATATGCAATGATAACAAAAATATGAATAAAGCGTTTGTAATTACTTAGACATTTTTTTGTAATATTTCATCTTGGACATCAGCAAATTTTTGGTCGTACCTAAAAAATGTCTAAATCCAGTGATTGGGCGACCGGGCATAAATTCAGAAATATCAGTTTTCAAAATTAAATTAAATTACTTATATAATTCGGCGTGGCTGTAATAATAAGAATCTTTTTTCGAGACTTTTCTAATATAGACATTTTATATTAGAGAAAGAATAAAGTCCGGTGGAAAAGTTTACTAATAATGAAAATCGACGCGTGGAAACTTATAGCCTTTGTTTTTTTCCCAACAACTTTCGGAAATATTAAATTAGAAAAGTCAGGAGGAGCAGATATTTTTAGATAACGGGGAATTTATTAAATTATATAGAAGGGAATATTTTTTTTATTATCACTCAAATACACATTAAATTTTAGCAATTCCTAATTAAATATATGGCTTGATTAAAAAAAAACCCAAATGCAACTCATGAACTTCTAATTTTTCTAATCCTAATTTTTGTATTTATTTTATTGTTCTTGCTTTTGAATTGTTATTTCAGGTATTGCACAATTATATTAATATTATATAAAACATAATTTCACACGGTTGTATATATTTTATATATATTTAATATATATATTTTTTAATTTCAGTATTTCCTAATGTGCCTGCAGTACCGGGTTTGCCTTGCGTTGGAGAAGATCGTAAGTACTATCAATATTTTAGTTTTATAAATCACAATAATCTAATTTAACCAAAAATTATATTCTAGAAGAAAAACTAAATAATTTTGGCTTCATTATTTCTTACTTTGATATTTGTTTTTTCAGGAAGCATCTATAGGAGAGGTGCCAGACGGTGGAGAAAGTTGTATAGAATCAATGGACATATCTTCCAGGCAAAACGGTTTAATAGAGTAAGTTAATGTATAAAAATATACGATTTAAGTTGTTAATTTTCATGTTGAGATATATGATATGCCTCGGAAATTGCACAGTACACAAGTCGTGGCAGAAATTACTTAACTTTACTCACATTTTTGTTCAAATAAAACCATCATTTTTCTTTTTACATCATACAAAAAATGATAAAAAAAATTCATGGTGTTGACTAGGGAATGCAATACCGATGGAAAATTTCAATACCGGTATTTCGGTAATTTTTCATTTTAAAACCGGAATACCGGTAAATTACCGGTATTTTTATTATCTTACACAAACTTAAACAAAATTGAAAGTTGCTAGTACAAATATAAAAAAATATATATACAACTACAACTATATTCAACTAAACAATAAAAACAATAAAATAAAACACTAAGTTTATTTTTTTAACTAATAATTTAACAAAATTATATCCATTTCAATTAATTCATTATCACTATATTGAGTACTTTTCACCAAAAACGAACTTATGAGTAAGAAAGACCAAAAATTTATAAAAGATCATATTATATTATTATAATAAACTGCATTGTCTGTATCCGATGAGTTAAATTAGCATAATCGCCAATATTTAAAAAAAAATAATTTTCTACACTAATTTAAGATCGGATACTTTGTCAAGATAAATAATAAGTTACTATAATTGTTGAGTATTATTATTTATCACGTTGTGATGCTTCTATAGCATTTTCAGACTTCGAAACGTTTTTGAAAAATAATATTTTATAATTGTAATAAGAAGCAAAAATATTTAGTAATTATCATAATTATTATGTATAAAGTTAGAAATAAATAAAGATTACGCAGAGGTAATCTGTATGATATAAAATATTTTGACGCAAATATTACTTAAAAAACCGTTACATTTTTACAAAAGATGAAACAAACATCATTATCTATCAGTCGAATTCTATTTATTGTAACACGATAGGAAGCCCTTTGGAAAGCAATAAATATTCAGTTTAATGACGAGTTGAGATAATATTTGACATTTGTTTATCTTATAGAATCACTTGAAGATATAGCTGTTTATGTGGTTATGGAATTTAAAGATGCATTTGTTCCGTGAAATTTTAACTTTAGTGTATTATGTATCAAATAGCGCTTATGTAAAAATACCGAAAATACCGGTATTTTTGGGGTAAATACCGGTAAAATTACCGCCGAAAAATCGGGCGGTTTACCGGTAAATTACCGCCGAAAAATCGGGCGGTTTACCGGTAATTCGATATACCGGTATACCGGTATTGCATTCTCTAGTGTTGACAAGTTAGATGTATAAATGTTAGTGCTAATTTCTAGTGTTGTGTACACATCTTTAGATGTAACCTACCAACCTTAATATCCACTGATGATGACATTGAATTGAATGTCGAAACGTATGGGATCTAAAATTAATTTATAAATGTTTGCTTTTTATTCTTTGATGTATCGCCCCACAAGAACTTACTCATAAAAATATACATAATAGGTTGTCAAATATCTCCCTTCCGCCTTTTTGTATTATAAACCAAGAGCAAAAAAGCGGAAGGGAGATATTTGACAACCTAATATTTGACATTTATTTCAGTTTATGTATCCGTTTCTCGGGTTTATTCCATCTGACACCTTTCAATAATTTATCATCTGTTATCTTTTCCCCAGCGCGCTTTCTGCGCCTTCTGCCAGGACAGAATCTGGGGCCTAGGCAGACAAGGATTCAAATGCATTCAGTGCAAGCTTCTGGTTCACAAAAAAGTGTCACAAACTTGTCCAGAAACCCTGCACCAATGAGCACGTCGAACCGATTGTCAAAGATGACCCTCCGTCTGGCACGATCGCCTCCAGCCAACTAAACCTAGGTAATAAAGGACAGATAGGAGGGTAATATTTTATTTGCAACTAGATGACCCGACAGACGTTGTCCTGTACTCATGACTACAACTTTTTAATATAATATACAAATATTTACAGTTTACCTAAAAATAATAATCATTGTATTTGAAATTACTCTTCACGCCAAAATGCATATACATTTATAGTATGAGCGATGTTAAATGTAGAACTGCTTTAAATAAAATGATGAGTTTCAATTCCCACACTGTATTGGAAATTGAAGTCTTTTAAACGGTATAACATAACCATAACCATAACATTACACTGATACTTCATGTTGGATTAAATTAATTTAATTTCATATGATTTAAGATATCCAAAATTGCATCTTAAACTTCTCCTAATCGATATCGTGAGGGCCGAATTGTATGTATTCATCTTTACTTTCCCATTTGTTGTTATAAAGTGAAATTTTTACGAATTTTAAAAATATTGTAAAAATATTAGTAAAAGACGCAAAGAAATTATATGTTGAAAAAAAAAACTATATTGAAAATTTAATATCCGAATTTTGTATTGGCGCCCCCTAAGGCGTGCGCTCGTATTTTTCGCATGCATCGCATTAAAAGTATTAAAGGCCTGATTAATACTTAAATCATATTTTAAGTGAATTAATTTGTCATATTTTTTCATATGTGTATCGTTCAATCTGACATACATAGACTGTATTTTATATTATTTTAATTTCTGGCCCATCTCAGCTGCCTTTCGGCAATAATAATGTAGACATTTCATTTTCCTTATTCATAATCATAAATTGATTATACATATTCTAATATTGTCTAGGTTCATAAGGAAATTATTGGCAGATGATAGTGCTCATTTGTTTTCAATGCAAACAATGACATGTCGTTTTTTGCAATTTTTTCCATTTATTTCTACAATATTGCACATACATCCCAGTACTTTATATACACATACATCTTAGAAAGTTTCCTTAGCAAACTTCAGAAAGATTTATCAAAATCCACATAATCGTTTAGAAGGAGTATACAGTGAGTGCTTGTAATTTAATATGAATTTTATATAATAGCAATAAAGCTCAAATTGATTTTACGTTTTACTTAGAAGACGTTTGTTTGAGAAAAGAAAAAGGGCTGTTTTTAGGGTTTTACCGACAATTGGACATCAACGCACATTTTAAAAAAAGAATTGGTCAAATTGGTCCAGGCGTTGTTGAGTTAAGCGCTTACCAACACATTTTGAGCGATTCATTTTTATATATAAGATTGTTTCTAATGGCTTGTTATCTACAGCAGGCGGTGATGATCAGAAGCACCAGAGTTTGGGACAAACTCTGTCCAACAATTCGGGGCTCAACAATAAGCAGGGACAGATGACTGTTGAAAGGTTGGCTGGTGAAGATGGAGATGCCAATGATGATAAACGTGGAGAGGAGATTGCTGCAGAAACAGGTAAGAATAAATGACTGAAAATTCGGGTAATGGGATCTAATTGTGTCTGTTTCCCCAGGTGGTCAAAGACAATACTCATTGAGTGACTTTGAGTTAATCAGAGTTATAGGACGTGGCAGTTACGCCAAAGTGCTTATGGTCGAATTGAGGAAGACTAGGAGAATTTATGCTATGAAGGTTATTAAAAAGGCTTTGGTCACGGATGATGAAGATATCGATTGGGTGCAAACTGAGAAACATGTATTTGAAACTGCTTCAAACCATCCATTTTTGGTCGGGTTGCATTCGTGCTTCCAAACACCCAGCAGGTAAACAGAGTGCTCGTAAGGTTCACACGCGATTGAGGTAAAACTTATTTGCTACTCTACAAGATGGCATTTAAGTAAAAATAAATACATCATATAACGATTTTGAATAATGTTTATTAGTTATATTAGGTAACACTCGTGATGCACACATTTATTAGTGTCAATCATTATACACATTTATATGATAAATTATAAATTATCTTCTATATATATAAAAATAAGTCGGGTTTTCCTTCCTGACGATATAACTCAAGAACGCACGAACCGATTTCGACAATTTTGCATTCTTTGGAAAGGTCTCGGGCTCCGCAAGGTTTATAGTTTATAGAAAACTAATGGTGCATGGCATCGAGCCCTAATGCAAGTTGCTGGAACTTCACGCACCGTAATTAAAAATTCGAGTAATGACATTAGCGAGAATTATTAGAATTATGCTTGGTTAAGTCAACGAGCAATTCTTGCCGCGAAGAATAATGATGTACACGCACCGAATTTCACCATTCAATCAAAAATTGCTGGAGATTTGGTGACATACCAATTATTCCGACTGGTCTTCCGTTTGACTTCAAACGATTGCAATTTCCAGTTCGCCTTGCGTTCGCAATAACAATTTCTCCCGCCAATCGCTTAGTGTTTACGGGATAAATTTCAAATAGATTATTAAAAAAATCATTGTTATTCACATGGGCAGTTATACGTTGGCTGTTCACGAGTTGGAAAACCATCCTCTTTGTTTGTGTTAACGTCAGACCAAAAAACAAAAAATGTGGTTTACCAAAGAGCAGTTCAATGAAACGGATAATTTGCGGATTTACTTTCATTTACTTAGAGAAGTTCAACTAACAAACACTTCATTTTTGTAATCGTAATAAATTCATTACTGTTGTGTAATAAAACCAATTTTTTTCTTTTCTAATATAAAACAAACAAAAAATTTTTTCATCTTTCTCACGAAACCGTCTGGTGGCGAAACGGAGTTTGTCGGGTTTGCTAGTATATTTATAATAGCATTAAAAATATGTATAATATTTAAAAACAATAATGTAATAATGTAATTAAAGTCATACTTCAAATATGACATGATCGGTTTGTCATTGTAATTAGCATTTAGAAATGAACTTTCATTAGACAAATGGAGGAATTGCTGCTCAATTAACTTCTATAATATTCGTTCACACAGTGGATTATGTTAAATAAACAAATATTGTTTTTGCAGCTTCACTCATCATGTAATATTTGTGTTTGAAGAACCTCATGTAATTAAAATTAACATACATTCATTGACTGAAGGATTTTTTTACTTTTTTGCTGGCGATATAATCTCATTCTTTGAACAGCTGTAATATCTGTCTTGCCTAAAAAATATTATTCATTTTAATAACTTCAAAGATTTACAAAAACTACGAATAATATAGAAATAATTTCAAATCAATAAACTTAAGTTTAGTACACGGCACAAATGTTTAATTTGTGTTATTATTATCAAGGAACAGAGTAAAATATTTTTCTGACTCAGGCATTTTTCATTAAATCAAGATTTGTACTACGATGTAATTTTAAAATGTTTATTTATCTATGCCGATTTCCTTGTTGATATCGGTACGCATACAACGACAAATCTCTATTCACATACACGACGTCTAATAACTATCGACCCGTATAGAAATGATATCATCGAGAGCGAATAACGAATCATTGGCACTCCTATCTTATCTTATCTCATCTGCCGTAACGCACTTCCATTGCATTTGTACGGATTTACACCCTAGTCGCGCCTAAAGAAGTTTTACTTAAAAAAATAAATATAATGCACTTTGTGGTATAGCAGTGAAGTAAAAAATTTATTTTTCTTCAGGTTGTTCTTTGTGATTGAGTTTGTTCGTGGTGGTGACCTGATGTTCCATATGCAGAGACAACGAAGATTGCCAGAAGAGCATGCCAGGTTCTACGCTGCTGAAATCAGTCTTGCATTGAATTTCTTGCACGACAAGGGTATCATTTATCGAGATCTGAAACTGGACAATGTTCTGTTGGATCACGAGGGACATATTAAATTGACTGATTACGGTTAGTAATTCAAAGAATTTTGAAATGTGAAGATTCAATTATTAATTTTTATGTTTTCATATTTTAGGTATGTGCAAAGAAGGTATTCGGCCTGGTGATACTACATCTACGTTCTGCGGAACTCCAAATTACATAGCTCCTGAAATACTTAGAGGTAATTTTAACTAATATATGTTAATAATTATTTGTTTATTCTTTTTTTTTTTATTAATAACTAGATGACCCGACAGACGTTGTTCTGTACCCTCGTCTACAATTTTTTAATATAATATACAAATATTTACAGTTTACCTAAAAATAATAATTGTTTTTTAAATTACTGTTCTCGCCAAAATGCATACACGTTTATAATATGAGCAATGTTAAATATAGAACGGCTTTAAATAAAATGATGAGTCTCACTTCCCACACTATATTGAAAATTGAAGTCTTTTAAACTGTATAACATAACCATAACCATAACATAACACTGGTACTTCATGTTGGATTGAATTAATTTAATTTTTTATTATTTAAGATATCCAAAATTGCATCTAAAACTTCTCCTAATCTATATCATGAGGAGCGAATTGTATGTATTTATGTTTACTTTCCCATTTGTTGTTATAAAGTGAAATTTTTACGAATTGTGGAAATATTGTGGAAAGATTAGTAAAAGATGCAAAGAAATTATATATTAAAAAAATAACTATATTGAAAATTTAATATCCGAATCTTGTGTTGGCGCCCCCTAAAGCGTGCGCTCGTATTTTTCGCATGCATCGCATTAAAGGTAGGTCCGGTCCTGATTAATACTTAATTTCATATTTTAAGTGAATTATTTTGTCATATTTGTTCATATGTGCATCATTCAATCTGCCACACATATACTGTATCTAATATTATTTTAATTTCTGGCACATCTCAGCTGCCTTTCGGCAATAATAATGTAGACATTTCATTTTTCTTATTCATAATCATAAATTTATTATACATATTCTAATATTGTCTAGGTTCATAAGTAAATTGAAATTTTTGGCAGATGATAGTTTTCATTTATTTTCAATGCAAACAATAACAATGTCGTTTTTTGAAATTTTTTCCATTTATTTCTACAATATTGCACATACATCCCAGTACTTTATAATCACATACATCCTAGAAAGTTTCCTTAACAAACTTCAGAAAGATTTATCAAAATCCACTTAATCGTTTAGAAGGAGTATGCAGTGAGTGCTTGTAATTTAATATGAATTTTATATAATAGCAATGAAGCTCAAATTGATTCTACGTTTTAGTTAGAAAACGTTTGTATGTGAAAAAGAAAAGGGCTGTTTTTAGGGTTTTCCCAACAATTATTCGATTTTTCTCGCCGTAAGAACGATCGTTAGACTTGAACGAACATTTTAAAACAAGAATTGGCCAAATTGGTTCAGGCGTTGTTGAGTTAAGCGCTTACCAATACATTTTGAGATTCATTTTTAGATATACGAAGATAATTATTAATTTATAATTAATAATTATTTATTTATTATCTCATATGATTTTTTTTTCTTTAGGTGAAGACTACGGTTTCAGTGTGGACTGGTGGGCATTGGGGGTCCTGTTGTACGAAATGTTAGCAGGCAGATCACCCTTTGATATTGCAGGAGCATCCGAGAATCCTGATCAGAACACGGAGGACTATTTGTTCCAAGTTATCTTAGACAAAACTATTCGTATACCCAGATCTCTGAGTGTCAAAGCTGCATCAGTACTTAAAGGTAAATAATAATAATTGTTTTAGAATATTTGGTTTATAAATATTTTTTTTATCATATCAAATGCTTATGACTAAGTTTTTTTTTTTTGTTACAGGTTTTCTTGTGAAGGATCCTGCAGGCAGGTTAGGTTGTCACAAGGAAGGAGGTTTTATGGACATCGTCAATCATCAGTTCTTCAAAGCCATCGACTGGGGAAATGGTAAGTAGTTAACCTCAGTCACATACATACTCTTTACTAACACAAACTTAATACATTGATTCACAATTAGGGAATGCAATACCGGTATACCGAATTACCGGTAAACCGCCCGATTTTTCGGCGGTATTTACACCAAAAATACCGGTATTTTCGGTATTTTTACATAAGCGCTATTTGATACATAATACACTGAAGTTTAAATTTCTCGGAACAAATTTATCTTTAAATTCCATAATCGCATATAAACAGCTATACACCTAAGTCTGTTTTTACACGGTCTTTTTGCACACGGTTTGAAAATTGAATATTTTTAATTTTTCTACACGATTTTATTCCATTTAGCACGATTTGAAATTTTATGTACTCAATTTTTTTTTGTCAAATTCAATTTTTGCGAACTATGTTCATATCACAAAAAAGTATTTATGAAAGGAAAAAAGTCTGAAACCATCGACAGTATCGATAGTTTGCGAACACTAGCTTAAAGATTTAAGTGAATTCCCCTTTAGCGTGAACAAACAATTTTTACTGGTCAAAGCAAATGTGAATAGCACTAATTTAGGGGAATTATTATTAAAATAAACATGAATTCTTGTTCTTGAAAATTCTTATTTTTCACTAATTTGAATAGGTTTTAGAGATTAGGAACAAATCACCCATTTTTGTATAAGATCAATGTCTTTTTTTACATGGCTTCATCTGGAACCAATCTCCGTGTAAAAACAGACTTAGGTTTATCTTTAAGTGTATCTATAAGATAAACAAATGTCAAATATTATCTCAAACTGAATATTTATTGCTTTACTAAGGGCTACATATCGTGTTACAATAAATAAAATTTGAATGATAGATAACGATGTTTGTTTCATCTTATGTAAAAATGTAACGGTTTTTTAAGTGACATTTGCGCTAAAACATTTTATATCATACAGATTACCCCTGCGTAATCTTTATTTATTTCTAAAATTTATACATAATAATTATGATAATTACTAAATATTTTTGCTTCTTATTACAAATATAAAATATTATTTTTCGACAACGTTTCGAAGTTCGAAAATATTATAGAAGCATCACATTGTTTTAAATAACAATACTCAATAATTATAGGTACATATTATTTATCTCGACAAAGTATCCGATCTTAGATTAGTGTAAAAAATTATTTTTTTAAAATATTGGAAATTATGCTAATTTAACACATCGGATACAGATAATACAGTTTATTATAATAACGTAATATTAGGTTGTCAAATATCTCCCTTCCGCTTTTTTGCTCTTGGTTTATAATACAAAAAGGCGGAAGGGAGATATTTGACAACCTATTATGATCTTTTATGAGTTCGGTCTTTCTTACTCATACGTTTGTTTTTGGTGAAAAGTACTCAATATACTCGATAGTGATAATAAATTAATTAAATTGGATATACTTTTGTTAAATTATTAGTTAAAAAAATAAACATGTTGTTTTATTTTATTGCTTTCATTGTTTAGTTGAATATAGTTGTAGTTATATACAATTTTTTTATAATTGTACTAGTAACTTTCAATTTTGTTTACGTTTGTTTAAGATAATAAAAATACCGGTATTTACCGGTATTCCGGTTTTAAAATGAAAAATTACCGAAATACCGGTATTTAAATTTTCCATCGGTATTGCATTCCCTATTCACAATCATTTACTATATGTTACCACCGGCTATTATCATTAAGTTATTATTATGATGGTCAGTTGGCACAAAAGGAGGTTGAGCCCCCGTTCACACCGTGCGATGAACAAGACTATGCTGTTAATTTTGATCCTCAATTTACACGAGAACCAGCCCAGCTCACACCAGACGAACAGTATGGATTCTAGAATTTCTTTTTTTGCAGAAGTCACATATTTTTTTGTTGGGCTGATTTGATCATTTTTGTGTCTTGGTTAAAGGAATTTTTAGCGATTGTGAAATGGAATGTGACATGAAATGTAGATTCGATTAGATTTATCGCATGATACATGATTTATGGTTAACTCGTAATAAAAAACAATTTTTATGAATGATTTAAGTATATATGTATACTAGGGTGGTCCTTAATATGGACATTTTCGAATTTTTTTGCTCCCAAGGGCTCGAATGGTTACAAATTGATAAAAACCAATTCTCTGAAAGTTTTAGCTCTTAATATTGTCTTTTAGATAGAGCGTAATTTAATCAAAGTTTTGTATGGAAATGGCATGAAAAAAATTACAAAATTTTTGCAGAGCGTCGAATTTAAATAAAAAATTACACGAATTTTTACTTTTAATTCATTTGTCGCTAAGCTATACCTAAAATTTTTAACTTTCCGTAGGGTAAGTTATAGTAATCGCAAAAAAATCGAAAACGAAAATTTTTATATATTTTTACGTTTCAAAACCTTCCGAACATTTTGGCATACCTTGGGAAATGATGTGTGTGATGATGTATGTGTGTGTGCGTGTATGTATGTGTATGCGGATACAACTTTTCGTCGAAGATTTCGGGAACAAGCGATTTGAATAATTAAAAAAAACATTCGATTCGTATTGATAAGGAGACGTGCTAATTAGTTTTTGGCAAAGGCAGGTCTAGCCATTTCGAAGATACGGGGCAAAATGTGCCAAAAACGGTAACTCGGTTTCTAAGAGAACGGAGCGTCTGATTTTAATAATTCAAAAAACATTTTACTTGCATTAACAAGATGAATTCTTCAAATTTTCATGAAGGCAGGTCTAGCGGTTTCGGAGATCTAGTGAAAAAAGTAACAAAAAAATGCCATTTGGCGGTCAAAAATGATCATTAGACATATGCACATCAAATTATCAGATATTTTACAGAGATTTTAACAATAAGTATAAATTTTGTTTACATTCCTATGGGTTCCGTAACAATTTTTATCCGTTAGACGGCGACGCGGCGCTTACGCGCTTCGATATTTCATCTCTATGCAGTTAAATCAGTACGATTGCTTTGAAAAACAGTTCAAAATTTCCAAAATATGTCAAAATAAAGAAAACATTTTTTTCTCAAAAAAAGTCAAATTTATAGTTTCTCAAAAATCTAATTTGTTCGAAATAAATATTTTTCAACAATGTTAATCTTTTTAAAAAAAATAATAATTATTGATACGGGATGTTCCAGCAATTTGCCTTAAGGCACGATGCCATGCGCCCCACTAATTTTTTTAATTTTCAAAATTTATAACTTCTCGTAGGGCAAGTTATAGTAATAGCAAAAAAATCGAAAATGAAAATTTTCGATTTTTCCATACTATTTCCATACGAAGTTTGATTGAATTGCGCACTATCTAAAAATTAATATTAAGAGCTAAAACTTTTAGAGAATTGTTTTTCATCCATTTGGAACCATTTGGAACCCTGGGAGCAAGGAATTCAAAATGTCCATATTAAGGACCACCTTGAAGTGTACTAGGGCGGGTCGATTTAAGGTCACTTAGGCACATATGATTTTTGGATTTTAGGGGTCAAATAAGATACTTTGCTGAAGAAACCATACCTAAAAAATGAATTCTATTAAATGATTACCTATAAAATCAGTTCCGCGCATTTACCCAAAAATGAGGGTCAAATTTTGAAAAACTCTTCAGGGGGTTAACCAGAGTAAATCATCAGTACATAATAAATTCATTTAAAAGAGTTAGGATAACCGTTGAGTTGCCATTTTTAAAGCCAAAAAGTCGGGACAACTGTTTAGAGGGCGTCCATAAATCACGTGATTGATTTTTTAAGGATTTTTGGAGACCCAAGACCCAAATTACCACTCCCCTTCCCCGCCTAATAGTACGTGTTTTTTTAGTTAAGAGAAAAATTGTAAATATTTGAATTTTTTTTTTGAAAATGTAAATAGGATTTGTTAATTTCTAATGGGAGTATGGGCTTTGTAAAGTTAGTGGAAATCGTTCATACACTTTAAACGGGTCAAAACAAAATTTTTCAAAATTCAACCCTTAGTCTTTGGGTCAATGCACGGGACATAAGAATTCATTTTAGAGGTACGATTTTTTCGGCAAAGTATCTTAATTTAATCTTTAGTATTAGTGTCTAAGCGACTATTTTCTACTCTTACAAATCGACCCGCCCTAATGTACTCTAAAATCAACTCTCAAGCCTATACGAGTTAACTCGAATCATTCCCCCGGAGCAGTCGATCATCAATTTTTTTTTATAATTTTTTCTATTAAGTTTTTTAATTTTATTTCTTTTATTGCTTTTTTCTTTCATCGTTTTATAAATCACTCGTAGCTCGAGCAGAAGCAGGTTGCGCCCCCTTTCAAGCCCCGCCTGGAGTCCGACCGAGATTTGGCCAATTTTCCGCCGGAGTTCACAGACGAACCGGTTCATTTGACGCCGGACGACGAGTGAGTAGACAACAAAAAAAAATATAAACAACAACCACAACAACTAAAACAACAGTATTAAAAAAAAAAATTAGTTAGACAAAAATAGCAAAGGCCTTCTGTGTGGTCCAGAGCCATTGTTGTGAACACGATGTGCTGGTAGAAAGATCTCAAGATTTATTTTATTTTTTTAATATATCTTCATAAGTATGAATATCGTCGCTTTTTTGTTGAAAATATAGATAGCAATATGTTTAATGAGACGTTACCAGTGTTAGTTAATAAATCCATCCAAAAGAGTTAGGATAAGCCACGTCGTTTGAGAAGTCGGCACAACTGTACATAAACTAGTGAGGCGCATGGCATCGTGCCTTAAGGCAAATTGCTGGAACTTCCCGTACCGTAATTAAAAATTCTAGAAATGAAAATAATCAATAATTGTTTTAAATAATGTCAGATAGATTATTATATAAACATACTGTGAACTTGCTTATTATATAAACATACTGTGAGTGCTTTTTAAATTAGGCGACGAGCGTATTCTACGTACAACTTCGTGTATGTTTATTAGAAATTTGTTCATTTTTTTTTAAATTTGATGATTTTGATAATTTAGAATTTTTTTCGGAGTTTTGAATTTTTTTTAGAAGTTTGGAATTTTTTGTATTTTTTTTTGTTTGTTTCTGAAGAAGGAAACATTCTTTAGGTATATCCAAAACGTAGAAAATAATTATAAATTAAATTAAATTAAATGAATAATTTTTTGAGTAAAATGTAGGCTTTTAGTTCAGAAAAATAAAATCGTTTACATAACAGTGACTAATAAGTTTCGTTTGTATCATCTTCAGTGCAAAAATATATCAAATAATTTAAAAAAAAAACACAAAAACTAATATTTTTTTCAACAATAGTTAACTTTCTGTAGCGTAAGGTATCGTAATCAACGAAAAATCGATTTTTTTTGCATATTTTTACGTTTCAAATCCTGAATATTTTGGCATACCTTAGAAAAAATGTGTGTATATTTTTGTATGTGTGGATACACATTTTTGTCGACGATTTCAACACGGAACACGCTATCAACCAATTTGAATACTTCAAAAACATTCTATTACTATTGATGGGGAGAAAAAGGGCCAAAAGAGGAAAAAATTGCAATTCAGTTTTTGAGAGAACGTAGCGTCCGATTTTAATAATTCAAAAAAAATATTTTACTTGTATTGACAAGATAAAAAAAACTGGTTAAATTTTTAGGAAGGTAGGCCAGCGGTTTTGGAGATCTAATTAAAAACGTAAAAAAATACCATTTGACGGTCAAAAATGATTATTGGACATATGCACATTAATTTATGGATATTTTAATAAGTAGGTACAATTGTTTTGAAAAAAAATTCAAATACTCAAAAATCTATGTTTTTTCAAAGGCTTCAATACAAAAATCAAAGTTAAAAAAAAATTGCGGTGCGGAAAGTTTCAGTAATTTTCCTTAAGGCATGATGCCACGCACAACTAGTTTTACCTCACAGTATAATATATTTACAGAATTTTTATGATAAATTTAATATTTTTAACTTCGCGTAGGGTTGAAAAAAGTTCAAAATTTCCAAAATATTTAAAAAAACATTTTTTTCCAAAAGTTTTTTTTACAAAAAAGTCAATTTTTCTCAAAAATCTAATTTCTCAAAAATCTAATTTTTTCAAAGTTTTAAAAAACACTTTTAATGTTTTTGGAAAAAATTAATTTTTGGTACGGGAAGTTCCAGCAACTTGCCCTTTTTTCAAAAGTTTTTTTTTTAAATTTTAAACAAAGTCAATTTTTTTCAAAAATCAATTTTTTTTTTCAAAGTTTAAATAAAAGTTTTTTTTACAAAGAAAGTAAATTTTTGTGAAAAATGTATATTTTTCAAAGTTTAAAAACAAATTAATATTTTTAACTTCCCGTAGGGTTGACAAAAAGGTTAAAATTTCCAATAATACAATTTTTTTTAAGTTTTTTTTAAATGTTATCTCGGAAGTTCCAGCAAATTGCCCTAAGGCACGATGCCATAACACCACTAGTATTTGCTTATACATCATTTATTGTAGTTTTATTCACTGATGAAGGCACTGGGACTAGAAACGTATTGTATATATATATAAGCAAATCCGAGTGCACATTATATAGGGTATTTTATTTTTATTCATTTATTTTTAATTAAAACTAATATTCATTTTAAGTTTTTGTTATAATTTTAGGTTTCATGATAATCCATCACACAAGCATGTTTTATTAACTCTTGCACCTGCTTTAGTAAAATACTTTTTTCTGTTTGATTTTTTCAAAATCGAATGCCTATTCTAGTAGTTCTATTGACCTGGCATGCACAAGCACGATTATATATCTAAGAATGCCCAATGATCAAATAAATAATATATAATAAATAAATGATCATTTACCATGTGTCCTTTACCCAGGCACGTCATCGACAAGATAGACCAGACCGAGTTTTGCTTTAGTAAAATACTTTTATAATCGAATGCCTATTCTAGTACAGTAGAACTCCAATTATCCGAATTAATGGGGACCGGGACCCATTCGGATAATCAAATATTCGGATAATCGGAGTTTTTTTTTTAAAATTGACATTGGAGAGAAAAAAAGTTACGTTTTGATATTGCACTATTTTTTTATTGAATTAAATGAAAGAAACATGACATTTTCACATGTTTTAAATATAAATAAAATGTACTTATGTACAAGTTTAGAAATAAAAATCATTGTTTTGTAAACATCTCCGTCAAATCAAAACAAACAATGTGCCTACACTGGCTTTGCTGGTGGGAGAATAATAGCGCACTTAGACTTTTTTCGGACATTTTTTTTTCTGAAAGTGATTCGGATAATCGGCGATTTGGATAATTGGATTTTGGATAATTGGAGTTCGGATAATTGGAGTTCTACTGTAGTTCTATTGACCTGGCATGCACATGCACGATTATGTAACCATAGATTATAATATAACCAATGTTTTTTTTTTTCAATAAATTATCATTTACCATGTTATGAATAAATTATCCTTTGCCCAGGCATGTCATCGACAAGATAGACCAGACCGAGTTCGAAGGCTTCGAGTACGTGAATCCTCTCCTGATGTCGCTCGAAGACTGCGTCTGACGAAACGCTCCCCCGACGCCGAACACTTTAAAAAAATTGAAAGAGAAGAGGTCTTCTTTAAAAAAGAAGACCTCCGAAGACGACAGCGACAACAGCACACCGCCACCTTTACCACCATTGAGATATTTCGAGAACCAGAAATGCGAACTGCACCCGGACAGACCCTATATGCTGACAAACGCCCTGCACTCTTCGGAATTCTCCTCGGAGATCGATTCCTCGGACTTCGATCAAGGTAACTTTTTACATCACTACGTGGTCAGTAGGCATTATCAGGAGCAGCAGTTCAGGCACCAGGATAATAATGGTCAGGATAATGATCACCATTACGAGAATCAGATGTGTTTTCAGAATATAGACGGGACGACCGGGTTTCCGATACATATTAATGGGTACGATGGCTTAGATTTGCCGGCTAGGGGCGATGATGATAGATTGATGCAAAGTAGCGATGATTACGATGAAGTTCCGTCTGATGATAATAATGGGGTAGTTGAGGGTAAAAATGGAAAGAAGCAGGGAGGGAACAAGGCGATTTTGAGACATATGTTTTGTTTGCCTTCGAACTAAATTTTTTTTTGCTTTTCTATAATATTCACTGGAGGTAATTGGTGTGGTATCAAGTATTTCATACACACAATCTAACCTTCGAATAACAATTTTATCATAAGGGGGCGTCCATCAACCACGTATTACCAAGAGGAAATAGGGATCCAAAAATCCTTAGAAAATTTGTAACCTGAATTTAAAAAAAAAATCCAGAATTTTTCATAAAAATTTCCAAAAGTTTAGGTACTAAATGTACATATAATTGTTTGGAGATGAAGGGGTAATTTTTTATAATAATTTTCCAACCAAGGGAGAGGAGGGTTGCTCCTAAATAGATAGATAATTTTTTAGTTTTGAAGTTACGGAGGTTTCACTCATTGATTTTGTACTTATTAACTTTTTTCCGTGCATTTTTATAAAGCACCAGTTGATATTTTATATTATAATTTTTATTTATGTGGGTGTTTTAAACCACGTAATTAATGGACGTTCTCTAGGAGCCAGGGATGGGGTTAATAAATAATACAAATTCAAAAATTTTCATAAAAATTACAAAAATTTAACATTTTTTCTATGTGCCAAAAATGCACGTAGTGTTAGTTGGGGATGGAGTAATTTTTTATAATAATTTTCCCTCCAAGGCGGAGGAGGGTCCAGAAAATTTTTAAAAATCGATCACGTGATCAATGGACGCCCCCTCAGAGACGAGATTTTTAAGGGAAAAGGGGGTTTGATAAAAAATCCCTCCCCATCACGTGGGGGAGGAAGGGGTATAGTAAGATAATTTTGAATTTTTTTAAAATTCAGGTGAAAAATAAATTCACATGACATTTTACTATACCCCTCCCTCTCCCCACGTAATATTTTGTGATTTTTTATCAAACATTTTTTTTATTGATCACGTGATCCATTTTTAAAAATTTTCGGGACCCTCCTCCGCCTTGATTATTATTAAAAAAATACTCTTTTATCCCCAACTACCATTACTAGCATTTTTAGTACCTAGCAAAAATGTTAAATTTTTGTAATTTTTCTCCCCCTTAGTGGGAAAATTATTATAAAAAATTACCCCTTTATCTCCCAACCAACATAACGCTTATTTTTAGTACTTTTGCAATTTTTTTTCACTTCAAAATTTAGGTAAAAATAATACACCTGATATTTTACTAGAGCCACCCCCTACGTGATTTGAAGTCTAACCAAAGTAAATATTATGAGGTTTGACTTTTGGAGGTTAGGTTTTATGTGTGATACGCCTGATCGTGCAGCAAATTCATAGCTTTTTGACAGTTTGTGTAACATAACATTTCTATTTTATTCGAGAATTGGATTCTAAGATTTTGCAAATTTTTTGAGCTGTTTTAGATAAAACAATAATACTATACATCTATCTCGGTTATACCAGTATTAACAAGGTGACCTTATTATTTTATTTTCAGTCTGGAACGGAATCCTGAAGGTAGTTGATTTTTAAAATTATTTTTAGAATAATGGATCTTAATAAATATATTTAAATATTTCTTGAAGTATTATTTGAACGACAGAAAATTAATAGTGACTTCCTTGAATATTATAGTTTCATAAATATCACGTCTTCTATTTTATCATTATTTTTTGTTATAAATAATTCATTTTAATGGATAGTTTATTTATTTATCCAACATTTGAGTTCCACAATCATTTCTGTATGAAGAAAATTTTCTAAAACAGCTCAAATAATTTCATTAAATTAGTTATATGTTTTTTCTTCATTATAAAAATTTTATACAGATTTTATTTTGGGGACACAGAAATTTTATGGTTCATCTGCTTGCATCAATCTTATTTATCGCGTCGACATAATTAATGTATTTTAATTAATTTATATATATATATATATATATATATATATTAATAGTATTATTTTCTAATTTCCAGTATCAAATTTCTTTAAAAAACAGACGTTTCAGTATTATTGATATCCCCAATACTCTTTTATCCCCAACTACCATTACTAGCATTTTTAGTACCTAGCAAAAATGTTAAATTTTTGTAATTTTTATGAAATTTTATGGTTCATCTGTTTGCATCAATCTTATTTATCGTGTCGACATAATTAATATATTTTAATTAATTTATATATATATATATATATATATATATATATTAATAGTATTATTTTTTAATTTCCCAGTATCAAATTTCTTTTAAAAACAGACGTTTCAGTATTATCGATATGTATTTAAATTAATATTAAAGAAGACATTTATTCGGCAGCATACTTAACCAACAATAATACAAGGTTATTGTAAATAAATTTTGATATATAATTCATTACTTAAAATAATAATAACAATACAGACATCACATTCAATGCCAACAGTTGCTTATCTAAAAATAACAGTACTATAAAAAAGTCAATAAATAAAATTCCTTTATTATGATTGGCAAATTTTTCGTAGACAGTTTGTTGTTGTATGATCCTGGTGACACATTGTCGGAAGATCTGGTTAATCTAGGTGTTTTATTCTGACCTGAATTTGAAAATGTATTTTGCCGAGTCGTTCGTGTAGTCTTTGATTGTGGTGTTGATGGAGTAACATTTATTGATTTCTTTTCTGATTTTATTTCTTCATTCTGAAACTCTTATATGATTTTTCTTTTTTTTTATGATTCTCTCAGGGCCGATACAGTTTTATTTCCATGACCAGGGTATTTTAGAAGAAACTTATTGCGAACATTAAGATCTTCTTCTAAGCGCTCCCATAATGGACTGAGGCTTTCACGCAATTCTAAAACAATATTTTTCGATCTTTCAAGTTTTTCCACATAATCAGCATCTGTAACTTCCATTTCCGAGTCGCTCAGAAGATCAGCTTTAAAATCTAATGATGGCTTTATTTCAAGCTCATCGAATATCCTTATTAAATCTTTGCGTATCTTCTCCAAATCTGGTTGTCTGAATTTTTCCTGTTCCAACAAGTATTTTTAGAAAACATCAATATCGTGACTTGAGGGTAATGTTGGACTTGTTGATAGTCAACCCTAAATCTTTACATAAATTTATTTCTTTGTCCAACATGTCAACAAGAAAAACATGTCGTTAATAACAGATTTTCTCCTATTGTATATCTTATTACAATTATAATCATATAACATATATTTGAGGATGTTCTATAGCTTCAAATGGCACGAAATCCTGTGTGAATTTCTCTGGCAAAGGCTCTGAAAGCAATTTACAGGTTTCTATCACATCCTTCATTACTTTTTCCAATTCTTGTACTAACCTTTAACCGATTCGGCTTCTTCAATGATATCACTATAAAGGTCTACAACATGATCTATAAATTTTTCACATTTTATTGTTTCTTCCTTGTAACTATGCTGCTAGATACCTAATAATACATAAATTATTTTAAACCTTGTAAGTTCGACCTGTTCGCTATGTACAAATTATCCATATTAAGGAGGTTGTTCGTTTTTTTTTGTTACAAAAAATGCAAGGTATTTGTTTTTGTTTTTCACGACATGTATTTATCATAGAAACATGCGGTTTTTTTTAAACAAAAATTACAAGATCATAGAATATTAGGAAATTTTTTATTAATTTTTTTTCGCCGTCGTTTTTTAACTAGTGGGCATTGCAAAATCGATCTCTTTTGCGGTGCCACAAAATAAATCCCTTTTTTGGGGGGGGCGAGAAGCTTCGCAAATTTTTTTTGCGTAATGTTGTTTGAGGTAGGAGGACTAGGTATTGCAGTGGTGAAAAATTAAAAAAAATGCAAGTTAGACTTTTAGTTTTTTTTTAAAAAGTCATTTTGAGAAAAACGTATTTAAAGTTTTTAATATAATGTACTAAATACACCATTTAATTTAAACATGGTGTTCAAAGAATGCTGACACATTAAAAAGGTCATGCGCATGTGGTATTATAATGAAAAAGAGAGCAGCTGGCATACAATAGCTCGCGGATGCTTATAACTTCGTCAAAAAAATAGATATTGAGATGATTTTTTTTTTTAAATAATTCTAAGGTTTTTAGCTTTCATAATATCAAAAATCTCAAAATCAGAAAAAAATAAAAACCGAACAACCCCCTTAATTATTATTTTTGTTCAATAGATTAATAACACCTAGTATTCCCATTAATTTATATTGTGCTTGTTTCGCCTAACCGTTCTCTCGATTGAACAAAATTTTAATTTTAAACTTATTTTAATAATATTGCTGATATATTAACAAACTATAAGAATTATAACAAATGCCAATATATGACATTCCACGATTAAATTAAAATCAGTCGATTAATAGAGAAAGTTTTAGATATTGTAAATATAATAAACTTATTAGGACTTAATATTAGGCACTATAGTTTATAGATTGTATTTATCTATTATATAAATATAATAAGTATATACATATATTGAATAAGAGAAACCTTCGTTACTAAACGCTTTATAGATTCTGTTCGAAGAGAAAAAAATTATTACTTAGGGAATAACGTTATAAAGATAAATTTAAATAGATAGATAATTTTTTAGTTTTGAAGTTACGGAGGTTTCACTCATTGATTTTATATTTATTAACTTTTTTGTCGTAAAGCACCGGTTAAAAATGATTTTTATTTATATAGGTGCTTTATGAATAAATCGATTTTGTATTGTTTTAACTGTTTTGTATAAACTTTATGTATATGTATGTAAATTTTATATATTATACATATATATTTGTTGCGTCCTTTAACCAAATTCCTATTCCATGTTTTTAGCATTTACAACAATCATAAATTATATATCGGTAAGAATATATAATATATATATATATATATATTATATATATATATATATTATTGACAATGTGAGAAAGTATTATATTAGAGGCTGCTAATTGAAAATTATATTAAACATATTGTAAATTATAAAACTGAATTAAGACGGAGATTAATAAAACTATTATTGATTAATATATACACAATTTTTTATTGTAAATTATAATTTTATTTATCCAAAAATCTAAAATTAAATTTTCTACTTATCTTTACGTTTCAAAGGTTTCTGAACATTTCGGCATACCTTGGAAAAAAATTGATGTGTCTGCTTACGTATGTGTGGATACAATTTTTCGTCCATGATTTCGAGAACACGGATCAACCGATTTGAATGATTCAAAAGCATTCGATTCCTATTAATAAGGACACGTGCTGATGCAGGTCCGCGGTTTCAAAAAAAAAAAAAAAATGTTTTGCAGTCGAAATTCTGATATTTTCAACAGTATGGTTCAACGATATGAATGGGTATCAAAAATTTTCAAGAAATTTTCTAAATTAAAAAACTTGTGGTGCATGCATCTTGCCTTAAGGCAAATTACTGGAACTAATTTTTTTTTTTTTTTTTAAAATCAAATTTTTTGAAATTTTTAAAAATTTTTCGAGATAAATTGTCATTTTTGAAAAAGTTGATTTTGTTATACCTTGAAATATTTCGGAAAATTTTGAACATATTTTTCAAAATAATCGCGATAGGTTAGCAGCGTAGAAACGAATATCGACGAAGCACGTGGGCGGCCGCGTCGCAGTGAACGGATAAACATTACTACGGACGCATAGAAAATGAACAAAATTTGTTAATATTGTTAAAATATTTGTAAAAAGTGTGATAATTTGATGTGTATATGTCTAATGATCATTTTTGTCCGCCACATAGAATTTTTTTTCACTTTTTTTATTGGATCTCTGAAACCGCTAGACCTGCCTTCCCAAAAATTTCATCAGTTCTTCATTTAAAATGTTTTTTGAATTATTAAAATCGGGCGCGCCGTTACTTCAAAAACTGATTTGCGATTTTTTGGCACTTTTTGCACCGTATCTTCAAAGCGGCTCGACCTGCCTTTGCCAAAAACTAATCAGCACATCTCCCTATCAATAGGAATCGAATGTTTTTTAAATAATTTAAATTGTGTTGATCCGTGCGCCCGAAATCGTGGGGACGAAAATTTGTATCCGCACACACACACACACACATACATCAATTTGTTCTAAGGTATGTCATAATGTTCGAAAACTTTGAAACGTAAAGATCAAGTTAAAACATTAAGTTGCATCAGTATCTTCAAAAATTTTCGAAAAAACTTAGTTTTCAAAAAATGTTCGAAAAAACTTAAAATTTTCAAACTATTTTTTTTTCTTTCTAAGCTTTTAGAAATTTTTGTGGGAAGTTCCAGCAATTTTCCTTAAGACACGATGCCATACAAGACTAGTTACCAGTTTTTTGCAGAAAATCACTAAAGAATCTTTGTAAACTTTTTATATTGTTAAAATCTTTTTTATCAAATATTTATTCCAATAATAGTTTTTACAATCTTTTAATTTAACAATTTACAGAATACAGAGAAATTACAAAAAAATCTGAACATAATATAAAATTGTGAAAAATGTGAAAAATTTATTACAATGGTGTATATTTAAATTTGGTGTCGAAAAAATTATTCGCCGTAATAGAATTTTGGATATTGGTGCAAATATTGTGGAAGAAATCTGTTTGTATGATGAAGTAAATCAGAGACACATAGAAGATTCCAGCCAAGGCGTTGTAGATTATTTCATTCCTGTAAAGACAAAAAAAAATAGATATCATGGTCTTATAGAACATACTAAAATGTTACGGGCCTACGACCAACGTTTTTAATGTTAAAAATTCATCAAAGTTTTGAGAGAATATTGTAGCAAAATTTGGTCAAAAGTTGCTTTTGTGATGTGATGAGTCGAACATTGTCAATTAATTCAAATTTTACAGCACTAATATAACTAATAAAATTATCTACAGTTATTTAAATGGTTGGAGAAAATTCTATTCAAAATCGCAATGTTTAGATTTAATTGAAAGCAGCGATACTTTATTTTCGGAATAAACAGTTGACTAATTTTATCTAAATATCTAAATTTCAATTTCGATTGATTAAGTCAATTCTTACACATTTCGGGAAGTTCATGCAACTTGCGTTAAGGCTAAATGCCACTTTCAACTAGTTTATACTATATATTTTCTTATTTCCATTATCTTTTAAGCACTAATTTTCAAAAATTTATCAATTTATTCGACTCCATATAAATTTATTTTTATATCCAAGTACTTTCATTTACCATTATTAACTTACTGTAGGGTTGTTATAGTAAGGGCCCGAAAATCGAAAATGAAAATTTTTGCATTTCTCGACGTTTTGAAGGTTCTGTTCTGAACATTTTTAAGGAGCATATCTCAGAAGCTAAATGGATGTGTGTGTGTGTGTATTTTGTATTCCGCATTTTTTCGTCCACGTTTTCGGAAACCGATTTGAATGGTTTAAAAAACATTCGATTCCTATTAATAGGGAGATGTACTGATTAGTTTTTGGCAAAGGCAGGTCCAGACGTTCCGGTGATACGGAGCAAAAAGTGCAGACAATAGAAATCGAGTTTTTGAGAGTTAGGAGCATTGGATTTGAATGATCCAAAAAACATTCAGTTCGTAATGACGGAGAAAAGTGGTTATTAGATTTTGGCAAAGGTAGTTCCAGCGGCTTCGGAGATACAGAGCTAAATGTTAAAAAAATGGCAGTTTTTGAGTGAACTAAGCGTCCGATTTAAATGATTCAAAGAATTTTCTGCTTGTTTCAACAAAATAATTGCTTTTGGAAAATAATAATAATAATTGCTTTTGGTTTTTCAAAAAATTTTTTGTAATTTTGGATTAAAAATTCAAAAAATTACTCAGGCTAAGAACAGTCTAAGTGCCTCTCTGGTACAAATATTTGCCCAAGTGCGTTTAGACTGTTTATGTTATGAAGCACTTTCCGATTTTGTGAAAACTACTGAAAAAAATGTGAAAATGCCGCTAAGCTAAGCACAGTATAAGTGAAAATGTTACACAGAATTATTTGCAAATGCGTTTAGACTGTGACTATTGGGGAGCACTTTTTCAGTTTTGTGTAAATTAGGCAACTATTTTTTTTTTTTAAATTGAATTCGAAATGAAATGACGATTGTTAATGTTCTGGAGATAAATTGATTTATAATTTACGTCCGATTTGCTCAGATATAACAATAAGATAGCAAAAATGATGAAAGTTACAGTATTTGTAATAATATATTTGAAAACGTTTAAAATTTCTCGAATATTTCATTACGGTACGGGAAGTTCCAGCAATTTGCCTTAAGGCACGATGCCATACACCACTAGTTCCATTTTCCATTATCACCACTTACCTCTTGTACTGCTTAATATTCTCCTGGACATCGTCCCTCTCCTTGACGACATACCTGTTTATGCCGATTACAGCATTCATGTAATATTCGTACATGTCAAAGTGTTCCAGGGTGAACCAGAAGGCTTCCCTAAAAAGGTAAATGATAAATTTATTAATTTATTATGATATAATTATATTTTGATGGTTTTTCACCAACTTGTCGATCGGTTCCACTTTATAGGCCAGGTTCCAAAAGTTCTCGTTTTTGAAGTTCCAAGTGTTGAGGGCGAAGTGACCCAGGGCAGTCATGACCAAGTAGATTTTGCGATTTATTCTGGCCAATCTGGTAAGTGGTAATATATTATTATTAGTATTGGAATTATTAACTTAATGCTTTCATACAAAAATCCGATTCGCTATTTTTTGTATTTTCTGACGTTTTCAAGTTATTCTCAATCGGATGAGACCAACATTTGGAAAAATTATGTATATGTGTGTGA